GAGATCACGAGGAGATCCGACATGGCGGGATCTCCCGGTGAAGGTTCCCTTATCGCGACTTCCCTTATCGCGGCGATCGGAGAAACGGAAAGTGCTCCGAGGGGTCAGGTTTAACGCCCCCTTCGCCCCCCTCGATCACCGGGAGAGATCTATTCTCGATTTCACGATTACAACCTTACGGTTACCGACCGTCCGGGGTCCCGCTCCGATTCCGCCGCGTTTCGATTCTTCCCCGCTGACGGAAGCACCCGTCGACGACGGAGCTCCGTCTACCTGTTCGACCAAAGAAAAAAAAAAAGAAAAGAAAATTATACAAATCTCAAAATTCGCGGTCTCGTGACCTATCCGCCGAACGCAGCCCGATCGGTACCATCGATCCCTCCCGATCACCGCTTATCCGCTTCTCTCTCTCCATCGCGTTACCTGTCGCGCCGGTCGGTCGGTAAAGAGGGTTCCTGCCTTGCATCCCATTTCTCAAGACACACCGGGCTACCTCGCGAATCCTGGAAAATCCCCGTAAGATAAGTGGAGGCTCCTTTCCTCCTCTCTATCTCCCTTTCTCTCCGGCGAAGGACCACCAGAGTGGAAATCCTGCCTCCCGCCCCCCTCCCCTGTTTCTCCTTGTTCCTCGCGTGACGGATCTAATTTGTTTTCCCACTCGGTCGGTAACGGGAGGAACGAGGGGGGGAAGGCCACCGAAACGAGAAATCCCGTTCGGCTTCGCGGCCCCCGCGATGTTCCCCCCTTTACCTCCCTCCAGATTTGATGCGACGTTAGTCCATCCAGGTTCCATCTAGCTTCGATTCGGGCTTGATTTTAGTTCATGGGAAAAAGACTCGACTTTCCCTGTTTCATGTTGGCAGGCCTTTTTTATCCCTCCCTCTCTCCCTTGGGCCGACCCCCGGCGCAGCGACGTCGTGACGCGACGACGGCCGCGTCGCGACTGCGGGACGCTAGGCGCTCGATAAGCGGCACGTATACAAAAAGTGCCGCAGTATTTCAGCCCGTTCAGACTGCGTCTTGAAGCGATGCCAACTTTGGGCCGTCGCCCCCCTTCTAGTCGAAGTTACGGAACACTTTCTTCCTATCCGGGTCGTGGGTGTTCTGGGTCAAGTGTGCATCCCGACGCGATCGCCGGGGCTCATTCGACGAAGAACTCGACTGGGATGGCCGATCTGCATCCCAAATCGGATGGAGATTAGGGAGGGGTTCGATAAACTGGGAGAGACAGAGGAATTAGAAGGCATTCGGGTCTTGTCAGGGTTTATGGGTGCACTTGGCTCGGGACTCATGCGAGTTCTTTTTTCCGGGATAACAGGGAGGAAATTCTATCTTGGGTTGATAAGAGTCTTGTCGATAATCAGGGGATTTCGAAGTTCATTTTGATTTGTCTTCATTTATTTTCAGATATCTTTTAGTTGTCTTTGGTTATCGAAGCGCAATTGCATATCTATGAGGGTTTTTTTTTTTTATATAGGTTTGAGAGGTGGACATGTAAGGTCATTTTTTGGTTAAAATCGAGGGGAATCGTGGAAATGGCTCCTTTGTTCGGGTTCGAGGCTCGTTCGTCTCCGTCAGGCGGAATAGCGGTAAAGTCGCAGGGGCCGCTAGCGGTCCGCAGCGGCGGATTCGCGGTGGCTAATCGCGGTAATCGGCCCGCGCCGGTCGGTCCTCGCCGGTTCGCGCCGCTCCGTTCCGCTCCGCGACGGTCGCCGGACGGCGCGCGGCCGCGCGTGCGGAACGCCGCGGCCGCTCCGATGGGTGCACCCGAGACCGAGGCGACAACCGCGTCTCTCGCGTAATTATTCCGGGAAAATGGCCGGCTTTCCTGGAACCGAGGAGCTCGAGTCAGCGAGTCCGCCCGGAAGCCGTAGTCCTCTCCTCTCCTCTTCTCCTCTTTTCTCCTCTCCTCTTCCATCCTCTGAGGACGCCGCGGGTCGCCAGGTGCGGGGAAAGAAAAGAGCCGCATCCGGTCCGTGAAATACCTACCTCGACGTTACGCCTAACGCGAATTCATCCGACCTCCATTATTGCATTCTAGAATTATATAGTCAATTGACGTATTGACCCGTCTTAAAGTGGATTCACCCTGTCCGCACACGTATCGGTACGGACGCGTGACGGTGCCGATCCGACGAAACGTTGCGGCATCCGTTTCAATGGTCGGACACCCAATTGTCGAGGTAGTTCGGGTCTTTATTGCTGGGGATATTATGCAAATTTTCCGTCCAATGTGCCGCACCGATGAACCGCGCGGATGTCTTCCACGGATACCTCACTGACGCGGCACGGACGCGTCGGAGCCGGCCTTAACGAGATCCCTCTTTGCTCCGTAATTGCGGGCCGTTGAACGAAAAATCGTTAATTGGCCCCCGCCGACTGTCGGCCCGGTTCTCGGGCCGTCGCGGCTCCTCCGGCCGCGGATTTCGCGCGTTTACATCCGCGTACGTACCGTAAGGTAATTACGGCCGACCTCTTCGACGGGCCGGCCGTAATTCCAGCGTTTAATCGGGAATATACCTCGCGGACTCTCGAGTGCTCTTGCGAGTACTCCACTCGTGCTCTCGCTTTTCTCCCCACCGCCGATTCTCGGCCGCTTATAAATCGTTAATCGACCTTAACTCCTAGAAACAATAGGCTCAATTAACACCGGAGGAATGAATCGTCACGATCAAAAGGTTTGAGACACTTTGTATAGGCTGGGCCGACTTATCGCCAGGCGAGAGAAGAGACTATCGTCTGCTTATAAACTATCGATCGGCCTTAACTAACACTAGAGGAATTGTTCGTTGTAAACAAATGGTTCGAGACACTTTGTATCGGCGGGACCGGCTTATCGGCAGACGCGGAAAGAGGCTATCGGCGACGCGGATTGGTTTCGCCGAACCGGCGAGAGACTAGCTCTTGTTTCTCGCTCCTTTCGGCGTGCTGCAAACAGATCGGTCACTCCTTAATCGTGACGCAATTCCGCGGTTTCTCGGAAGACTGGCGTCGTTATCGGGAGCTTTCGTCGACGACGTCGGTCTCGACCTCGGGACCCCACGTAACGTAAACGTTTACGTTAACAACGGAGCCGGCCGTCGAGGTGAGGTCACCCGTCCAGATCGATCGGGGTATAATCGGACGTCGGGGCGACTGGTCACGAAACGCTGAGAAATTCTCATAAGGGCCAGGGAGAAAGGTATCGAAAGAGAAGCGGCGTCAAAATGGGCGAGGATAAACATTCTGTTGAATTAAAAAAGAGGCGTCGCGACGGTTTGTCTCTTCCTGGCAAACGAGGTTTTACTGCACCCCCAGGGTGCACCCGGACTCGCCTAGTTAAAGCCCGACTTGTCGTCCCGCGTGTACGCGCCGTCTCCGTAAATACCCGCGTCCGTTTGCACGCGCATCGCGCGAATTCCGTGACTGTTTGCCCGCGCGGCGCCTCGGTACACAAGGGGATGCACCTAGGACCGGAGTTTGCTCTTCGCTCGTCGAGATTACGGGTCGAGGATTTATTAGCGCGCTCCTCGAATCTCGTTCTCGGGCGGGAACTCGTCGTCGGGTCGCTCTCTCCTTTCCTCGAGGGAGGGTAAAGTGGTTTCCGAAGAGAGGAGACCCCCAAGAGGCTAGACCTAGAAGAAAGGGGTCGCGAGTTCCCTTTTCGGCGCATCGCTCTAACGAGCTGAGATGCACTTTCGATCCGCTATGTGGACTCGGCGAATCGATCTTACTCGATGCTACATTTATCGTCCGTCATTTTTTCTTGCGATATTTTTCATCAATTTTTTTTTTATATTATCCTTCGACATTTTTTTTTTTTCGATATTTTTCTTCATCCCCAGGATAGACGTTCCCAGTTTCGGTGTTAACCTGGTATTACCTTGATTACGTATCTCGCCTTATCACGCGCCCCCGTTGTTCCCGCTCCGCGGAGGAACGTGCCAGCGTGAACCTCTCGCCCCACGTCGAACCGTGGGAATTATCCGGCTCTATCGAGAGAGGATCTACTCTCGACTCGCCAATGCGAAAGGAAACGAGAGAAGAGGGAAGGGGAGAGGACGCCGCACGTGCGCCGGCCGAGCCGCTTTCCCGCGCCAGCTCCCCGATAACGAGTGATAACGCAGAAATCGCGCGAGGGTTTCTTTTGGTTACCGCCAGGAGACGGGATTTCGCCAGATCGATCTCCTCGTAAACTGATTCTCCCTTATTTTCATACAAAATTTGACGAGGGCCCCTTAAATCCGAAACCGGCGTATCGACCGATCAGCTGATCGGTCTTCCGGGAGGCTCGCCAATAATTCCCCCATTTCTGCTTTTCCGCTCGCTGAATGTCGCGGATAATTCGCAAGCGACTCGCCGGACACGCTTTCTGTTTTTGTTCCGACGAAAGGCCGAAAGCGGCGACTTTCTGCTTTCTGCGGAATCGCAATTCCACGATAAGGCGGCCGTGTCACGCCTCGCGAAATCTTTTCCACGAGAGCGCGGCCCGATTGTTGACTCCGCGCGACGTGTTCCTTTCTTTTTTTACTTTTATTTATTTTTTTTTCCTTTCTTTTCTATTATTCATCTTCCCTGATTTCTCCAGGGTGTGCGCTGGATTTTCTCGAAATCTCGCGGAAGTCCTGGTTCGACGTGTTCACCGTTCCGTAGATCGGTCAGGAATCGAAAGGGGAGAAAATGATTCCGGGCATTTTCCGCGCGTAGTCAAAGGCCGCGCGGCGCTCGAAGGCTCGTAGTCCCTCGTGAAGCGAGACCGCGTTATAGGGCGAGTCGCGAGAGCGAGCGAGAGGGGGAACGCCTAGGCGGCAGGGCGAGGAGGGACGAGAGACTTCGCCGCGATATGCGGGCGCCGAGGGGTGAGGGGAATCACGGAGCGAGGAGTGGGGGCCGCCGATCCGGTGCGAGAGAGAGGGCGCGCGCGACGGTGCGCCGAGTGCGAGCGAGAGCGCCGGCGGCCGCCGGCTAGGCGGCGCGGTCGGCTCGGCGGCTCGGCGAGTCTGTCGCGGGCCTCTCGAGCGCGCGGTCGTTCCTCGAGTCTCGCTCGGTAACGCGGCGGCGGATTGCGCAACTGAGTCCGGCGGTCGTCCCGCCAGGATGGGTTAAGCGCCCGGACGCGCCGGGCGGATCGGTCGAGAGGCCAGGTCGGGCGGGCGGCGAGGCCGCCCGGGGGACGAGGACGGCCGACCGCCGCGCCGCGAGGTCGAGGCCCCCCGTCGGCCCTCGGCCGCCGGCGGCCATCTGACGAGCCCCCCCTGTGATCGCGGAATCGACGTACCTGCCCCCCAGCGACGAGGAGGAAGAAAGAGAGAGAGAGAGAGAGGTCCGACCCGTACTTAAGGCGAGCTTTATTTAACGCGGAACCTCGAGCTCGCGCGACGTTGCCGCGCTTCCTCCGCGCCTACCCCAGATGACATATATATATCTATATCTATATCTACACATATATACGCGTATATATTTATATACACGTGCGAGAGTCTGACTTGCGACGCGAGCCTGCCCAAAACACGGGCGAGCCGGCAGGCCGTCGAGGTTACATGTAGTATTAGTAAACCGTGCAAACCGAGTACCTTAAATCTACCAAAAACACGGGAGAGGAGGAGAGGGAGAAGGAAGTCGCCGGCCGCGGAGCGAGGAGAGCAACGTTGAGGCTGTGTCGCAAGAGGGCGACCCCTCGTGGGGACATCGCGCGACCGCACTTTTAGCGCCGGAAGCACTTTTCCCCGGAGGTCGGCGAATCCGTCGATTCCGCGCGAGTCCGCGGATCGCGATATCGCTTATCGATCCCACCCGGCTCCGATAACGGCCGGGGCCCTCGACGTCGCGACGACGCGCAGCGAGCGACAAGTGGTTACGAGCGGCGAGGCCGGAGCGACGACGCTCCAGTGCAGGAGGATCGTCTTCCTGGGAGTCTCCGTTTTAGGGATCTTTAAGCCGGTGGAGGATCGTCGACGAAGACGTACGAAGATCAGGGAAAAGGAAGTGGAAGGAAGAACGGGACGCTACGGGGGACCGCGAACCAAGATACAGAGGGAGGAAGGAAGAGCTTGACGTCGCCGCAACAAGTGGACGGCGCCCACGTGGCGTCGCGACGCCACCGTATCGACGACTTCGCAACCTCGGGGAAGAGTCGACGGATCCTCGGGCGACGTTACGCAAGACTCGCGCCGTCTCTCGTGACGTGTCGCGACGATAAACTCGGTCTCTCCGTCTCTCTTTCTCTCGCTGGCTGATAACGGAGGTGCGGAGCGGTGCCAAGCGGAGTCGCGCTTCCTGGTGACCAGGGGAGCCTGGAGGAGGACCTCGAAACGGAGCCGAGTCCTGGGGCGGTCGGACCACGAGGAGACGTCGACTCGCTGGTCGAGGACGCCCTTGGTCGGGGAAGGAGGCGAACCCGAGGAGGGGGATATCAAAGCGGCGGAGGAGTTAAAAGTATAGATTTAGAGAGGCGAGAGAACACGTGGGGGATTGGAGTTCGAGGAAACGGTACCTGAGAGTCGCTTTAAGGGTCGAGGTTTGGCCGGCCAGGATCTTGAGGATCTTGGGGAGGATCTCGCGGGGACTCCGAAGTGACCCACGAGGGTGAAGACGGACTTTGGATGACTTTCCTATTTTGCGGCTTCGTCTTCGACTCCTCCGACGACAAGGCCGGACCGATGCCGGTGGCGTCGGAGGACTGGGTGCCGCACCCGGCCAAGATCGGCGGGGGGGCCACCGTCCAGGGCACCGCGGCCGCGTGGACGTCCCCCTACGGGAGGGCCGCGCCTCCCGGGGACAGGGGCCCTCCCGGGCCAAACCACGGCACCGTCATCCTCGAGGGGTGTCGCCCCCCGGCCGCCAGGAGGTTCCTCAGGTGGTTCAGCAGGCTCGGCCAGCCGCCCATCGGGAAGTCAGGTAAGCACCGACCCTCCACCCCCGCGGGGAAGTCGTTCATCAGGTGCTGCGTCGACATCAAGCGGGCCGGTCGCGATAATCGATCGATCGGCTCTCGATGACTCGAACCTCGAGGTGCGGTTCCGCGAACGCCGATGGCGCGGTTTCTCTCCTTATCTCCGCCGTTCTCTTTGTCGCGATATTTCACGTCGTCGAATTCAATTGTCCTCCCACCCGAGACCTCGCGTGGACATCGATCTTCATCTTGCAGTCTTGGTCTTGAATAAAGTGCGAAAGAATAGAAAAAAAAAAAAAAAAAAATTCAAGATCGAGACTGCAAAATCGTGATCATCAGCTGACTTGGGCGGGATTATCAAAAAGCCACAAAGACCTCTTACCTCCCTTCTTCCCCGCGTTTTTTTTTTCTCTTTTCGCTTTCGGCGGTGCCGATTGCTCGCGTAATCACGGCGGGGGGTCCTTTCGGGCAAAAAGCTCGCTTTCACGGGTCGCTAATTCCTCCCCGGGGGGAATCCGTCCGCGATTGGCCGCATTCCGGGATATAGTTTTCGGCGCGTTGCGCTAACCCTCTCTCCGAGGCCTCTCTCTTTCGCCCCCCGCCCTCCCCATTCCGCCTTTAGGATTCCGTTTCCCGTCGTCGATCCGCGTAAACGCGCGCAATTACCTTCGTCAAGACATACCGGGGGAACCTCTAATAGATCGAACGAGGTCGCCGCACAAAGGAGTCGGCCCGCCGACGTGCCGGAGGTGTGGGTACACCCCACCCCACCCCCCGTGTGCCCCACATTCGATCGTTGCCGTTAAATCCGTAAACGGCCGACGAGTACGGTTTTATCGTCCGATGAAAGTCTACGATCTCGAGTACTCGTTGCGTTACGACTTCCTCTCGTATAGAAGTGCCCCTCGAGGTCTTTCATCGCCTTGCGATTACTTCTTTAAGTAGGGTTGATCTTTTTTTATTTTTTTTAAATTATTAGAGGTAGGCTAATCGTTGCAGCATACATACGTCGCATCTAGAAGTGCCCCTTGAAGTCTTTCATGATTTAGAATTGTTTTTCGTTATTTTCTGTTAATTTTTAATATTAACGGGAGGTCATGATAATTTTCGTTAACAAATTGCATTTGGGGGAAATTTTAAGTGGAAACCTCGCCGAGGATTATCGAGTTTTCGAGGAGAGTGGATGGCGAGCCGCGTGCGTTATCGCGTGCGGCTCACCTGCGGCCGATAGCAGGACGTCGACGGAATCGTCCTGCTTATCAGACCTCCTTGCGATTGGTCGATCGGTCGCGCGCACGCGCGCGAGAGCGCCCAGAGAGGTCGGAATTCTCCGCGCGGGAACGCCGCACGATAACTGGGCCGGAAAGAGGATGAACCGTAAACTTGATAAATAAACATTAGATTCCGCGGGCAGAATCAGGCCGCGTGGCCAGACGCTCCCGATTTGCCTCCCACCTTTGATTAACGTCTTCAGGGTCTGATAGCGGTCTCGTCTTGCGGCCTCCCGAACCGCAGCGGCGGAATTCGTCCTAGTTCTTATCGGAGAGATTTTCGTTGCCACGCACCTGTTTTTTTTTTTTTTTTTCAGAATCTAAAAGTACGGCCGTTATCGGAATCGATACCGGCTATCGATAAGTACCTGACGGCATTTAGCAAAAATTCATTGGGCGGCGGAATTAATTGGCGGAAAAAAAAAAAATCGCTCCGGGAGTTGCGATCTCGCGCGACCGCCGGATTGACCCTCGCGGCCCGGATCGATAAACCCGCGGTGATAACGCGGTCTCTTTTTACAACGACGATGTATCGGCTTGCGGTAATTGAAAACGAACCGGCCGGACCGAGATTCCGGGCGCGGAATGAAAGATTCACCACGCGGCCCGACCTTAACCCTGAAACCGCGCTGATCGATGACGATAACCCCTGACGTGGAGGCGAAAGCGCGAAAACGCACGCGGAAGCGTCATGGGAAATAAGAAACGCAACGGGGGCCGATCGTTTCCGCACTGCGGCCAGGGTCGCTCGAGCACTGCGGCCACGACGCTTATCCACAGCCTTGAGGGTTCCTGTGTCGGTCGTGAATCATCTCTAATCGAATGTCTATCGATCGCGGTTCTACTCGATATCGGGAAATGTGGAATCTAATTTTTTTTTCCACGACAAATCTTGTCGGCTATTTGGAGGACGCTCATTGGCCGAATTTTTTATGTCACATTGTCTATGATGAATGATCGTTCCATGATCACGGATCATCGATCACCGATCATCGATAGATCTCGAACACGTGGAATTTGATCATTCCGTGAAATACCTGTCGCCTATTTAGACAGTCGTTCCTCCTTTTATCTAATTTCTTGCGGTGGTTCGGTTCTTTATATCCGTATTGACGTCGATAATCGATAACCGATATCGATATCGTCCAAAGCGCCCATTGTGCGTGCTGACACGGTGAGACCATTTCTCAGATACGCGCGACGCATTCTGATCAGCTGATCGCGAGTGATACCTATCCGAGGTATTTTTATCCGACTTCCAAGTCTTATTTTTTTCTTTCAATTTATCTTTTATAGATTTGAGATCATTTGGAATTTTTTCCGTTCCGAGGATTTCGTCCGGATTGCTCTCTCGCGCTTTCTCCGCTTTCCTTCCGCCGTCGGTTTTCCGCCGCGTCGGGCCCGCACTCGTCGACCCGTCGACGGCGCCCGACGCCGGCCGCAATTTAGCGCGTGCACTCCATTAACGATTACGCAAGGTTACGCACTTAAAATACGCACGCCGTCACCGTGCGAGCGGCGCCGCGTGCGAAACGCGTGCGGCGACAATGACGGCATTGTTCGCGCTCGCGAATCGCCGACCTAGACGCTCGTGCGATCCTTCACTCTCCGTCCTTTATCCTTCATCCTTCGTTCGAGGAAGAACGGAAGTGCGCGATTCCGCTGCGGAAAAAGCGCCCTATAAACTTTTTTTCATATATATAAATATGCGACTCGCCAAGAGACCAGGTAGAGTTTCGCGCCAAATTATTAATACTTTCGTGCATCGTATTTTTTTTTTTTTTCACGTCGCTTTGAAATCAATCGATCGGCGCTAATCGACCCTAAATCGAATATCGCGCCTCTCTCGACATATCGTTTGCCCGATAAAACGTCGGCCCAGGTTGGGCGACGCCATGACGAGTTCGTGCTGAGAATAGCCATTCTCCCCTGTCTCTCTCCCCTCTCGTCCTTCTCTATGTACTCACACCTGTCCGCGCCCCTAATTGCGCGATGCATTTACTATCCCGATGTACTCAGACCGGCGCCTCGAGGATGGCGCCCGACGTCTCGACGTCGCTCCGTCGACGTATCCTCGGGACGACGTCTCGACGAGAAAACGATATTTCGCTCTTACACATTAAAAAAAAAAAAAAAAAATACAGATAGACCGAACAGAAGAAATATTTCGTTAATACCAAGGAAGGTTCTGTTCAATGAAATATTTCTCTGGTTCAATGACACTTTCTTTTTTTTTTTTCTCAGTGTATGTAGGAGTATCAATGTATCCCCGGTATGACGGCCGAATTTCTTTCTTTTTTTTTTTTTACGGAAAATCACGAGAAGGCATGTATTGCCCTCGCGGGGATGCAATTCGGGGCAGGGGATGCAGTTCTGCCGGGACTTTCGACGGAATTACCGCGGCCGCGCGTAATCGCGCGGACGTGACGTACGCGCGCGTACATATCGCGCGGATTGTGGGAACAGAACGGATGGGACGGATGGAACTGGACACGCGAGTAGGAGCCATTGTCCTGCGGATTTCTCTGTCTCCGCGTTTCCCCCGCGCTTCCGGCCGAGCGCAGTCGCCGCTCCGCACTTCCCTTCGATCCGGAATTCGCCCGCTTACCGGGGCCAAGTGCGGAAATTCGATCTGCCTCCCCGGCTATAAAGTCGGAGTTACCTAATAAGTCGTTAAGGGGGAGGGGATTGCAAAGCTCTTGCACCAGGTCGTTTTTGACACCTCGGCCCCCGCCTCGTCGATCGCCTTGACCTAGAAGAAAAAGAGCCCGGCACCGCAGGTTGCGGAACGGCCGCGGGTGAAATCGCGGCCGCTCCCTTTCTCTAGCTCGGCCCGGGCCTCGTCTGCCCTCGCTCGCTTTAATCTCGAATTAAGTCACGGAATTAGTGGGTTAATTCGTTTAATTGAGGTCGACTGCGAGACCCTGGTCTCCGCGTTGCCGCCAGGTTTAGGTGGATAGGTCAAGACGGGTACACGCGGCCGTGGAAACGGAAACGCGTCCTTGAGATTTACATACGACACTCGTGAATTCATTGTCCGACGCCGTTTAACGACCATCCCGACCCGCGACGAGGATTTCGCGGAGAACCTGCAGAACCTCGAGAAATGAGGACCACCGAATGTCGGCGGCTTTTTTACGGCTCCGTGGTTTGCAAAAGTCTTTTGTTTTTTTTTTTCTGCCCTTCTTCCGCATCGTCCTTGCGAGGATTCCGGCGCGGATTCCGGTTAGGCTCGTTGCCAGCTACTGGACTCGACTCGACACTGGCCTGCCAGTAATTCCCCCCCGAAATGTCGGAACTGGGTCATCGGGTCGGCAATCTCGAATCCACACGCGCGTGCCGCGGGATTGTTACTGTTATCGCCATCGCCGTTATTAGTCCTGCTCCTTTCGTCCCTGGATTCCGCGCCGTGTGGCCCACCTGCCGCGTTTATCGGCCCGTTTGTCACTTCTATCGGCCCGCTATTCGGCATTCGAGTTATTCCCGCGAATCGTCGACTCGTTGAGCGGACCTCGTTTTTTTCCCTCCCCTCCCCCGATAATCGAGAGGGGTAATCCGATCAAATCCCACTGTATGTTCCGTTTCATATTTTCCGAGGGGCTATTCAGGCGGAAATCAATGAGAGGACTTCCTTTGATTTCATATCGGGAATAACGCAGCGAAACGAGTGACGTTTGGTATTGAAATTGTGATAACGCTTCGGCGATTGTCGAAGATTTTTCCCCGTGATTTCG